GAGATACAAGAGGAGCCACAGTTCACGACTTAAGGACGCGTTATTAGTATTATCTGTCGGTAAACAGGCTCATCTGTGAAGACTCAATCAGGGCCAGTGTCCACAAAGAGCCTTTTTAAAATTGTTCCCACTGAGGAGAGAGATCGAGTGGTGACAAAGCTCATCTATACGAAGTATGAAGCCTCCGGTTGGTTAAGTTTTTACTGATACAAAGACGGTCGTGGTTCAGCATTTGCTTCCATAAATGTGCACCTTTAATGTGCAATAGGTTAAAACACTGCAGCAAAGATGGCAGGAGGCCTTCAACGGCCATCAAGGACACCGAAATTCCTCTCGCAATAAATCTTTATTAGCCAGTTAATGAATCAATCAGCTCGGTATCGAGGGAAAGTGTCAGGGCGGCTCGTTTCTGAACTGGTAGGGGACGAGCAACAACTTCACCTGCACTTCAAATTAACTCTATCTTCAATACGCGAGACGGAGTTTTGGCTCGATAGAAACGCATTATAATTGAAACATCTGCATGAAGATGAGCAGAGTGAACAATGCAGTGTCAGCACAAACGTGTCTTTGAGCTCATACGCCGCATTGATTTTCCATCACTTTTTGGGAGAACAAATAAATCAGACATTTAGAAATTGCACTGGGCCGTCCGGCAGGGCGGAGGACACCGACTGCTGCTTGGCTGACCACTGTGACAAAAAAGCCCCCCGCGGTGAGATTCAAAAAGAAAACTTTGCAGGGGACAATCGAGGACAGGGACGTTTAATTGAGGTCTCGGGAATCTCTGCTGGAGCTGAACTAACACCCAGAAGGACAGCATGGTTAATCTTTTCAATCAAAGGAGGCCAGGATCAACACCGAGCGCTCCGTTACGCAACGTTCCTCCATCATCTCCCTGGTTGGTTTTTTTCCACACCCCACGAAAGCCAACAAATATGGTAGATGTGTGGTGAAAAGCCTTTCCGGCCGGTCCACTCGGGCAGCAAACACGAGAATCAATCAGCCGCAACGGCAAACAAAATCACGGCCGATTGATATTCTTAAGAGCTTTCTGAAGCTCTGAGGAGGAAAAGTGGCCGACGTGACGCGTCCACTGCTGACGGTGTAAAGTCAATACTGATCGAGTCAGAGATGCGACCTCATGACATATCAACCGGGGGGCTGCTTCGGGTCCATTATCACCAAGTAATTAGTCTCTGTGTGGATTCAGCACCGAGGTCTTTATGAAAATGACAACGTGAGAGTTTGATGTGCATTAAAACTTCCTCATGTGGAGGTTTGTGAACTTTGGAAGCTGAAGTGAAACAGAGAAAAACAATACTGCAGTGTTTCATAAACATTAATATATATATAATATATAATATATATATATATATATATATTTTTTTAAATGTATTTTACTCAGGCGGAAACCTCCGGTTCTGAAGAGTGAAGCCAAAGCTTCATGTGTTAAAGCTGCATTCTCTAGTGTCCACCAGGGGGCGACTCCTCTGGTTGTATAGAAGTCTATGAGAAAATGACTCTACTTCTCTCTTGATTTATTACCTCAGTAAATATTGTAAACATGAGTTTATGGTCTCAATCTCTAGTTTCAAGTCTTCTTCAATACAGCATGATGTTCATTTAGTACATTATGGTCCATTTAGAGTCACACAGACCATAAAGCAGGGGACGCTTTAGGGGCGGGGCTACACGGTGATTGACAGGTCTCCACCAGAGACATATATGGCGTCTCTACGTCACTCCTCCTCAGTCCTAATATGGTCACTTCCTGTTCACTGGTTGCAAAGATGGCGACGACCAAATCGTGCCATTGTGAACCACAAATCTGTGTTGAATCGGCAGGAGAGCGAGTTAACGTTATTGTTGCTACTGACTTACACTGTGATATGTTCAGGCTCTATTTCGTAAAAAAAAAATAATACTGTGCAAAGGTAAAATTGAACGTTTAGATGTGTTATAATCAATTTTATTTAAATGTAGTTTGAGGCAAGAAACTTGAAGAAATAAACTTGTTTTGAGGAAATGTTAAAAAAAAAAAAAAAGTGTATGCTTTAGTCTATGGGTCACTTGTGGATTTGCTAATGAATTGAACTTAAGGGAGTTTAAGTGTGCGGACCATCGATCACATTGCTTACTTTTATTTTCTACAACAATATCTAATTTCCCCCTCCAGGTGATGCAGAGTTTAACTCTGTGGAAACACACACACACACCCCGGTTTCCCCTATAGGCTGAGCGTCAACGTCAGGACTGACACTGAGCTGATGTGACTGACACTCGGTGAAGGAAAGGAGCCCGAGGCGTGGAGCTAAAAAAAAAAGAAAAAAGTGTGACGCCTGAAGACACACTAAATTCAAATGTGCCCTCCGGGTGTTGAAGTGGGAGACGAAGGGTCAGGCAATCTGTAGACAACAACAAGAAACCGTCCGCAACAGGTTGAATAAAAAACACAAAGAAAAGATTACAAGTAACAAGAAGAGATTCGCACGTAAAAATCTAAGGGACGCCGACGAATGTGGTCAAGAACCTCCAGGCTGTTGAAGGAATAATTCACCCCCAACAACGACCATTTGTGTGTCAATTACTCCCCCAGAGTTTCCTTTAACTCTTTAAGAAAACTTACGTTTTTCTGGCAAAGAAAACAAAAAACGGAGAAAAACCCTTGATGAATGGAAGTAAATGGAGCAAACATTTAACATCAACACTATATTAAAACATCTATTTATAAAACTCACACACAACTCTTGCAGAATAATACAAGTCTCGTATTCTCACTGCTTCGCTTGAGTCCGAATTTTGTAGAGAACAGCTGATGAGAAACAGTCAATTATTTAGACTCATCACTCAGAGTGGTGTCTCCAGGCCAGGTCCTCTGACCCGGTGAAGCCCCAGAGAAGAGAACCTTTATCTCTGTGCCGGGCGCTAACGGGCCGCCTGAATGTTTCATCACAGCTCGATGACTTCGTTCATTTATTTAAGGAAAGGTCGACCAGCAGAAGAAAAGACAAAAAAAAGGACGAATCGACAACAAAACTTCTTCAACGATCTGCAGCCGAGCATTTAGATCAAGATGTCGCCGTGTGATGACGTAATGTTTGTGGACCTCATTTAACGTTAAAAGGAAACATCGGTATCTTTAAACCTGGACCAGTTTTTCTCATGTTTTTGTGTCGAAGTGATTCATGAGTTTTTCAAAAGTGGTCCGGTATTGAAGGAGAACGGCAGCCGTCTAAACAAAGTCTCGCTCAAGAAGAAGTCTCGTTCTGTCGAAATCAGTCATTTATACGACAAGATCTCAACGTCACATCTGGATCCAACAAAGCAAAGATGGCTACGGCCAAAAAAAGAAAATGGCCAAAATAAATAAATGGCTGAAATAGCAAACGTTACGAGACTGAACGTATCCGTGTGCAGAATTGGTTCAGTCTAATGGATGGAAAGCAGACGACACGTCTAACTGATTGATTGGCGTCTGCTTTGCTGAGAAAAAGGAGAGAAAACTTTTGGTTGATTAGAAAACGAGAAGTCAACTTTCTATTAAAAGTAGATCCGAGAAGTTTCCGCACTTCTTTGTTCAGGCAGTAATGTTGAAACATAAATAACTTTAACTACATGTTTTACAAAGATCGATAAAGACTGACGTTAAATCTCTTGCAGACATGCAGAGGGGTGAACAAAGAGTAACAGCACAAGTAACCCTACAGCAGAAACACTGCGTGTTACATGGATAAGACAGGCTGAAATGCAATGTACTGCCACAGATCAAACGCACCACTTTAACTCTGTGTCCACCAGAGATGTGCTCATAAGAGTCTCGGAAATAATTCAGCATTAAAAACGTCAATAAACCTTTTAAACAATGCAAATAAATAGATCTTTGGTGTATAAACGTCTCCATCTGCAGTCAAGAATAAATGTGTAATTACAGCCTCATGTTGCTCATCGAAGAATAACTTTAATCAACGTCACGCAGAGAAGTTTCAGATTTTAAATTGAGGAAGAATGGAACTACTTGTGTGTCCGATACACCGAGTAGATCTATAGTTGGAGATCAGTGCAACCCTGCTATCAAACTATTCAGTGTTACATATCCATCTCCCTGAGCAGTCGTGATGAAACTGGAAATTAATCTGCAAAACTGCAAGTGTAAACAAATTGAGAGGAGATTACAAATCAGCATTATTTCAATTTGCTTACATCCAGTAAGAGGATTATCCCATTAGGAGGTAAAGGGGGGAAGTTCACTTATTGGCAGATTATTCGAGGTCCGCTCATTCTATTAAAAATGTAGAAAAGGACAGGAAGCCATGAGGGAGGCGGCAGGAGGAGATCAGCACATCCATCACTGTCGCTGAGCAAAGTTAAAGCTCAAATGAAGAACATCACGGTTTGGCTCACTTAAGACTTCAAGGACACACACTTCCTGTCGGCTGCAGAGGTGCGAGAGTCCGGGGGACAGTTTGAGAGAGGGAGGGACTCAGAGGACAGAAAGGAAGGCTCGGCTTTGCACATTTAAAAACACATCCGTAGACGTGATCTGTTTGAGTCACAAGAATACCTTCACCCCTGAATCCCATGAGAGAAGCAAGCAGGAGAAGCTGTCAACCTCGTCTTTGTAAGAGAGTCAGAGGGCCGATAGAGATATAAAGTAGCATGTAGTCCTGGATCAGGGGTCTTCTAACTTGAGGGAAATGACCCGGAAGCAGTGTGCAAAATACGGAAGGTCCTGACTGACACTTGAGACCCCATGAAAAGCCTCATTTGTCACTAAAAATGTCTTTTAAAGCCCAGCAGCAACAAGAAGCTCCAGTTCTGAGGACGTATAAAGAGGAAGTCAGCGGGAGCCAGAGGGACGTTCAAATCGAGAAGGGAGGTATTTGTTTGGGTTCAAACATCAACACATTTTTCTCCAGAATCGCTGACTCCACCTTTAAAAACGAGGCGGCGGCGGATAACTGGAAGTGTGTTTTCACAAACGTTGTGTCAGGACTCACCAGAAACACCCGGTACGCGTCTTTCCTGGTCACGGAGCCCCAGCACGGATCCGTGTCGTTGTACTTCACACTTCCAGCGCTGCAGGAGTGGTTTCCACTGCACGAGAAGAAACAAAACACAGATCAACGTCCCACACTTACTCCTGCTGGACGGTTAGTTCTGGTTTTGGAGCAGAGTGGAAGAGAAGCTAACAGGACGACGTCAACAACAGTTAGACCAGGTTTACTCTGTGATGAATAGAGGTTTACTCTCTATAAAATACTAAAATAAAAACATTATAGATACGACAGACATTATTAGAAAAACTCAACAGAAGCTTTGAATTAAAAAAGACATTCTGGAACAGACCTATAAAACACTGAAGTCAGTGAAATATGAAGGACGACAGTCATCATAGTTTATTTAAAACATTTTAGAAACTGTCTGAACCGATCACAAACTTCAGCTGCTCTGAAATCATCTCAGCAGAACTACCCTGAGAGAGGAGGGATGGTTACGTTCTGTGCTCTAAGATCTGAAGCCTCGAACTACATGAAATACACTATTCTACATGAAATACACTATTCTCACTCAGTCCGGCCAACGGACGAGCAATAAAAATGTGTCTGGAAGCAAGTGGACACCACTACAGACGGCAGGAGCTCCGGTGAGAGGTGAGCGGGCCTGAAGGCCTCCGTCAGAGAAGCTTTATTGTCTGAATATCAAGTTCAGAAGGTCACAAGAAGACCAACGAGCCGATGAGATGAAGACGGACGAGCTCCAATGAGCCCAAAGTAGCAAATGTTCCAAACGTTCTTAAAGGAGTGTGAATGAGACGTTTCCTGGTCTTACCAGGCGACTTCCATCAGCGATATGGGCACAGCTGCAGCGTAGATGGCCATGTCTCCGTACAGGTAGACTATGATGCAGATGTAGAACATGTTGACGCCAACTGAAAGACAGCAAATAGAAAAAAGAAACACATGAGCGACTCACAAGACGACCATGACTCTCCCTTCGTTACCGTGTTTCTCAAACAGATACATCTTCACTATTTAAAACACTTTTGTATCAACAGTCTCAACATCGTGCAGGTGTATTACTCACCTGCAGTGTTTTAAATAGTGAGGTTTTAGAAGAAGCACGTGTTTGTGAAGTAGTGAATGAGACTCGGAGTTTTACTTTTTTCCTGTGTTTTAAATGAGCTACAACTACATTTAGTTGTGCAACCGTTGCTGTTGCAAAATGACGATGAATGATCCTTTAAAGCTTCCTCGTCTCTGGAGAAAAGTTGCTGCGAACTCCAAAAAATTTAAATAAAAAAATAAAAAAAAGAGGTGACGAGCAAACATGTCCATCTTCTCACCAGCCCGTAATATCCTCCTCCTCCTCCTCCTCCTCCTCCTCCTCCTCCTCCTCCTCCTCGACAGCAGAGCCACATCTTCCTCATTGGTTCAATATGAAACATATTAATAGCATTAATTAAAAAAGCTAATCCTCCGTGAAAGAGATTTTTTTTCCCGTCAGCCTTTTGCTCTCCACAACCACACCATCCCCCCCCCCCCTTCTCTTCTTCACCCAACCTTTCACCAGGACAAGATGGAGGGCTTTTAACCGGCGGTCAGATCATCAGAGCGCCAAACATCCATCGCGCTCTCCAGTTCTCAGAAGGGGGTTAAAAGCGTCCAAACTGGACTCCTTCAGCCAATTCATTAGAGCATGGAGTCCATTAAGAGAAACAAAAAAGTGACACATTCACAGCTTCACCTGTCAATCACAGTAAGCCCCGCCCCTAAAGCATCCCCTGCTTTATGGTCTGTGTGACTCTAAATGGACCATCGTTTACTAAATGAACATCATGCTGTATTGAAGAAGACTTGAAACTAGAGATTGAGACCATAAACTCATGTTTACAATGTTTACTGAGGTAATAAATCAAGAGAGAAGTAGAGTCATTTTCTCATAGACTTCTATACAACCAGAGGAGCAGAATGATAGAATAAGATACTAAAATATATAAAGTTTAAAGTGGACAGACGCATCAGAAACATGGCGTCTCCTTGTGGGACAACACTGGACGAGGCGTATTAGAGCTGAAACAGGACGTACTGTACTCTGTGCAGGACCGCGGGGGGTGGGGTGCAGGCCTTCACGGAGCTGGAACTAATATTTCTCAATTACCCGAAGCCACAGGCTAAAGAACGCTGCAGAACGGGTCCTCACGCAGGAGCCCGGTGTCTCCTGTAGCTGTGAAACGCATCAGCATCCATCACCACTCTGCTTCTGACTGACAACCTCTCTGAGCAGCTATGGGGGGAAAAGACACTTTTATTACCTTATCAGGGTTAAATGATGTGTATTACATAATAAGAATATGTTGTTTTAATTATCTTATCATAAATAAATCTGCTTTGACCTCCTGAAAAGTCACAAACAACGCCGCTGTCACACTGCAAACCTCTGAAATATATAAAGAGGAAGGACGTTCACCTCAGTAATCTTTCTCTTCTCATATTTTTAACTTCCACTTGGTGACCGAGTCAAACGTTGATGAACTGAAGAGTACCGACTTCGACAAATCAAATCTAAATGGAGCCCCGGAGGCAACAACACGCCTCTAAAAATACGTAACTAGGACAGTCCGGAGTAATTAATGGTCAAGCTTTAATAGCAGACGCTGTTGTGTCATGCTGACTATTAGACTCTGAAGGTGTTTTAAAGTTAACTTTTCTTCGATCAGACTTCTTCTATTAAACAGATCAATAAAATTCACTCTAAAAAAGCAATTTGATCTACTTTAACTGCAGTAAAAACATGCAAACGCACCTTTTTTTACCCGAGAGTCGCATATAATATCTACTAGTTTTAGTTTCTGAAGCTCCACAAACATGAAACGATCGGGCTGAAGCAGCCACGTCCATTCATCTCAGCAGAGGCTCTCTCAGCGCACACAGCGTGACATTTAGCTAAAAGTCACTGAAGAATTAAAAACGTTAAAAGACAGAAGCAGGAGTTACAGCGGAGTGAATTACTTTGTTTCCTTCTACACAACTCTGAAGAAATACCGTCAATACTGTTTAAATATACGGCTGCTGCTGCTGACGCTACGATTATTATTATCAATTTACTTTCTTGATTAATCGTTTGGTCAGAAAATAGTGAAAAATCCCAGTTTCTCAAAGTCAAAGATGAACTCTTTTAAACGTCTTTTTGTCGTAAATATTCACTTTAAAAAAAGATAGAAAACAGAAAAACAGGAAATCTCCATAATTAAGAGGCTGAAAACTGCATTTTCTGACATTTTTGCATGAAAAATGACTAAAAACTGAATAACAGTTGGTGATTAACTAAAAGATTAGTCAACTACTGGTTGCAGCTCTTTTTAAATATCATCATATTTAAACACTATCTCCATATTTCAGAGGCTGAAAACTGCTGTTTCTGACATTCCTGCATGAAACATCGGCCACGTGTCTCTCGTTGAAGACAGAAAGAACCGAGTGACAGCGGAGTTAATTACTATTCACCACCATGAGTGCTTTGTGTGTCGGGGGAGGGGCCGGCTCACGTTGAGGAAAAAGAACACACAATCCTGCTGTTTGCACAGCCGCCATGTTAACCATCACATCACAAGAGAGGGAATAAAAAGCTGAGTCAAGGATGCTGATGCAAGAGAAGTCTCTCTCTCCCTCGTCAGCTTCCTCAAATCGTCAACGTGAAGGTCACAGCAGCACCTTTTTCCTTGTGGTGCAGATAAACCATCAACATTCCTGTCAGAGGCTGATACTCGTGGCCTTATTCCAGACCCGCTTCACCGCCGCCGTGTCACCTCTCAGTCCCGGAGGACGTGGCACGCCCTCTGAGAGCTCGTATCGCCTTGTTAATTGGCTGCATAAAGGTGCAGCACAGACAGGCAGAGTGCAGAAAGAGCTGAATACAACTTGCCGTGTTGATTTAGTTTTGCTCCGCTTTCCATAAACGACGACGCCACCACGGTCGACATCGCACATCTGTCTCTGCTCACCCATAATGCGTTGCAATTCCGAGTTTGTTTTCCTGGAGCCGGTTTGAATGAAGTCTCTTAATGGCCTCGAGTTGTGTTTCTTCTTAGATTCAGCAGATTATTCAAAGTGTAAATCTATAAAGTCTGAAAGCACACTGTAGATAAAGAAGGAAGTAAACCTACAGGCTGAGCACCGACACATTTAATGATCTGAGAACAAGTTCCCACAGCAAAGGTTGAACTTAAAATAACTTGCATCGTCTGACAACCTTAAACTCAAATCTATTATTATCCAACGTATCATTTGAGCTACAAAAGAGGGAAACAACAAATAATCCAGATCTGTTTTCAGACATCTTAAAGTCACTCATCTTTCCAGGAGGAGTGGAATCACGGTGATCTTATGATCCATCTAGTTAAAATAATACGTAAATAAAACAATCAGTATCTAAAAGTTAAAGTTTGGCTTAAAACTGGAGAAAATGACAACTTTTTTCTATGAAATATCAAAAAACTATTTCATAACTTTGTCTTTTTTGTCCAACAGTATGTTATTTAATATAATTAATGACAAAGAAGATCTGAACCAGAGAATCAATCAACTAATCGATGAATCAGCTGATTGTCGGTCGAATAGCTACGAATCATTTTATTATCGATTTATTTTCATTAATTAATCACACAAGTCTGTAAAATGTCAGAAAACAGTGTAAAAATGTCCATTCAGTGTCTCAGAAAGAAGCAGAAGTCTTTAAACGTCCTAAAGCCAAAAGATATTCCCTTTAATAAGATAGAAAAAAACAGAGAAAAGCAGGAAATCTCCATATTTTAGAGATTTTTGCATGAAACAAACGAACTAGAGTTTAGTTTGTTTGCACAAACATTTATAGAGGAACATAAATCTTATTGAACTTTGAGCTCTGTAGTCAGTAAGTCAGGAGGAAGAGGACGTGAAGATTGAGGAGTTGAGTAAGAACGAACCTGGGAATTTGCTTTAAAGTAGTTCTCGAACTGTTTCACCTGAACGTATTTTAAATCAAAGATCTTGATCTCATGAATAGTGAGAATCTGAAGTAGAGGAGCAGATGAGACGTAACGAATGGTGTAAACATTTAACGTTTGAGAGAATAAAACAACGTGAATGACGTCTTCCTTTGAGCTCAGAGAGGAAGTTCTCTGAGGACGTCAGGTAGAAAGTGTCGCTGTCAGGACCAACTAAAGAGCAGCGTTCCCCTTCTTTTGTCTACTCGTCCAGCATGTGCTGGGACTCGTGCCTCATATCTCGTTCATTTCTGATTAGTCACTGGGCAGCTTTCTCACAGCGAGAGGAGGAGAGAAAAACTAATTTCCTTATTACCGATCGATACCTCCACGTGCTGCTTCACCTCCACGTGCTGCTTCACCTGTTTCACGGCGGGAAAGGTCATCAGCAGAGATTTCTTTCACCTTTAACGAGCAGGACGAGTCGAGCCGAGTGACACGCTGCAGCTTTAACGGCATGGGCGCCGTGCATGAGACGCCGTGCATGAGACGCCGTGCATGAGACGCCGTGCATGAGCGAGTTCACACGTGTGGGTGTGAACTGGGAGGGGGAGGTTTGGCGTGCAGAGTGCTCCACCTAGTGTCGGGAAAAAACAGGGACCAGAGCAGATGATGCCGATGGAGCTTTGACCTTTTGTTGTTCCTTTATCCCTGGGACAACACGGGGGGGGGGGGGGGCAGAGTGTGGAGTCACCGGCATCTGGTGAGGAAGAGGCCGGTCGGTGTAATGCGAGCAGACAGAAGGAGGAAGGTTTCTCCGTGAGGTTCAAGGTGAACGGAGGGTTCATTAGAGCCCAAATCATTCAGAAGCCATCTTGCCCCCCCCCCCCTCCCCCTCCCACAGTAGGGGCATTAATGAGAGTCTCAAGCAGGTAATTACAACCAAAGGCAGTTTATCCATTTATAATCACATCCAATTACGGAGCCGTTCCCTTTTGTGAATGTGAGGAACGGACATAAAAAATGAAAGAAGAAAAACCTTCAGTGCTGCTTCTATAGATGATGGCAGTTAATTGAATAACGGGTAAAAACACTCGAGGGCCAGAAGGAGATTACCTTTGTTGAAGAACATGGAGGCCATCTGACCCATCTCCACCCGCTCCACGATGTCGAAGTGGTCCAAGTGACCTCCCGACCGCTCTGTGAAAACAACATGGAGGACATCGTGGGTAAATACCACGCAGTCAAAGAGCAGCGCGGTGATGTGAAGCGACTTCAGCTCATCCGGCATCACAAGGCGCAACACTTTGTGCAAAAGAGCGAACTGTTCCATCGCATAGTGTCCTAAAGCTGCATTCTCTCTAGTGTCCACCAGGGGGCGACTCCTCTGGTTGTATAGAAGTCTATGAGAAAATGACTCTACTTCTCTCTTGATTTATTACCTCAGTAAACATTGTAAACATGAGTTTATGGTCTCAATCTCTAGTTTCAAGTCTTCTTCAATACAGCATGATGTTCATTTAGTACATGATGGTCCATTTAGAGTCACACAGACCATAAAGCAGGGGATGCTTTAGGGCGGGGCTACACGGTGATTGACAGGTCTCTACCAGAGACATAGATGGCGTCTCTACGTCACTCCTCCACAGTCCAGATATGGTCACTTCCTGTTCACTGGTTGCTAAAAGTCATCTATAGTGGTGAGTTAAACTCATAATTCATCTCTAATATCTGTTTTATATTAATGTGGAAACATCTCCTTCAAACTACTGGATTCATTCAGATTACATTTGAACACATCATGATAACGTTACAGTAATACACTGAGCAGAGCCTGAACGCGTCATAATGCAACTGAATGGAACCTTTCGCACGTTAGCGGTTAGCTCGGGTGCTGCTAACGTTCACTAGCTCTCCTCTTGTTGCTCTAAATGTAGAATTATCAGGAATCTGACATCAGATCGAATGCATTTACTGAATATCAGCCGATAACGATCTACAGTAATAAAACACACGTCTCGTAAACACTTACGGTTCTCACGACCAGACAAGATGGGCTTCGTCTCCGGCTCCGACCGGCCTCGGACCACGATGTCATCGTCTGAATACTCGGAGGTGGAGTCGCTGTCGTCGACCTGCGGAGATTTCAAAAAACAAGTATTTTAATCTCTATTTCAGTCGAACTGTTTTCTCTAATTTCTCATTTCACAAGCCGTTAACACGTGTTTATTTTGCTCTGTATGCAACATCTGGAAACTACAAGCAACAGCTGCAGCGTCAATGATGAGTCAGCATCGTGAGAGTCGTAGGCTGAGTGACTGGCCAGGCTGGGGAGGAGACGAGGAGACAAGGAGACGAGGAGTGATAGGAGCTACTGGAGGTCTAGGCGTGAATCAAACTGATTTAATGCAGTCAAACACCAACTAACATGTAGATCTTTGAGTCCTAAGAGAAATATATTTCTACTTTCCCTGTTTTTAGTCCCAAATAACTTTTACATAACGGTGAAATAAACCCTTTTTATTGTTACTATTTAGAGAGAGAATGAACTAAATCTAGTCGCACTTCACTCAAAGTTCCAGCAGAGGGCGATCACATCAAACAAACATGAACTAATAGATCATCAGATCACCACTCAGAGATGCAACACAAGCAGTTATCAGACACTTTAAGAGTTTTATCTGTTCACAACACAAGAATTCAACACCGTGCATCTTCTTCTCCTTCAGATCCGCCTCACAATCACTTCTTCAGCAGGAAACGACCTTGTGTGTGTGTGTGTGGGTTTCTTAACATATATGATGCATCGCTTTACGTCTGGCTGATGTGCTTCACTCGAGCAGAGAGAAATGAAGAAAAAAGCATTCAGCGTTAAACAGTCTTCCATTACGTGGGCGGTGAACCGGGGGAGGAGCCATGAATCAGAGAGTCTGCACCTTAAACGCTTTACAGTCCTTTTCTTAGGCAAAGTCAGAATGATTGAAGATCGGGTTTATAATGGAGAACAGTCCTCTGTACAACCACAGCCTCACATTATGTATAAAGATACAGCTTCCTCTGGAAGAAAGTTTGTCGTAGTTCTGTGTGTTGATAAAGTAAAATAAGGAGAACGAGGTCACTATTAGTGCTGCATGTTTGCACGATGAAGACACAGTATGTTTGAGTATCACACCAACAGTCCGTTTATTATAATCTCATTAAAGTTAAATATCTCACGGTTCTCTTTGACGTCACCGGAGGAGATCAGCGGTCATTAAAGGTGCGTTTTTTAGGGATTCAACTTCCCAGAGTTCCCATCAGTGTGACGTCAAATTAGTTTATTTTTCTTTGGTTTCGTTTACGAGTCGCTTCGCTAGCAGAGAAAGAAACAGAACGTCGCTTCACACACAAGTTAAAGAGCGAGTCTGTCACGTTAGCTCCGCCTTCCTTCTGTGGCCGACCAATCACGGCTGAGTGATGGAAAACGCGACATTTATTACTTTAAAACAACGTCAATGACAGAGTGAGTGGAATATAATTAAATATGGCCTCCATCTTCATCAACAGTTGAAACCTACGGCGCAGATATCTGTCGCAGAACTTCCATTATTATGCAAATTATTAAAATATGACGTTAAAACCAAAGCAGCCCCAGTGAAACCTCCTGCACCGAGTTCACTGCTGACCTCACACAACACTCCCATTTCATCCAGTATTTGAGTCCTCAGTGTGAACTGAGGACTTATAATAAGTCGACTTTTTAAAGAATCAATTACAGAAGCGTAGCTCCAAAAGGAAGAACGGATAGCTCTCACTAATCTGTCTCGCGTTGTGGTTCTGTTTAATCGTCACTGTAGTCTGGATTCTGTGTGTGTTCTGACGTATTTCACAGGATTAAAGTTCTTTGGCTGCATAAACACGTCAGAAGACCTGTGAACACATCCAGAGCTAAAGCTTTGGCTTCATGTCGTATTAGACAAACTCTCTGAAGAAAGACGAGAGAACCAACGTCCTACTAACAGATGTTTACCGTCTCACCTCTTCCTGCTTCCTCCTCTTCCAGCGCAGCTGAGCGTTCGCCGCCGCCATCGCCTCGATCACAAACGTGGTCGTCATGTAGCTGAAAGAACGAAAGACGAGAGGGAAGTTTTGATGAAAAGAAGTTCGGTTCATCCATTGAAACACCGTCACACTGCTGCTTTCAATGAAAACAACTTCATGTGAATATTAAAACATCCGTTTCATTAAAAGCTGCAGTGATTCGTAGGAAATGTTTTTCTCTTCAGCTGCTAAATGTTCACCAGCGAGTTTCTGACTCCGTCAGCTGTTTGCAGAATAAAATCACTTTTTACAGATTATCCTGTGAGAGCGACGCTGTGAGAGCGACGCTGTGAGAGCGACACTGTGAGAGTGAACCAGAAGAAGAAACGATGAGCTGAAACTCACCATGAAGCTCCTCAAAGAGCTGCAGGTTTGTCACTCCGAGCGATGTCTTTACATTATCATATGTTACATTAATATATAGATTATTGCCTCTTTCAATACCAAAAAAACACAACATTGTATGCTTAATATAATAAAAACATTGGCATTAAAAGTCCTCTAATCACTTCTATCTGAACAGGGAACATTAATACTGAATCTGGATATAAACTAAAGAATAAAGCTGGAAGAAGATTCCGGCCTTCAGCTCTGCGTGGTCACGTCGTCTCTGTTGGACAGAACGATGCATGAGGGGGAAATAAAAAGGTAGATGTGTGGAACAAAAGTCACCTCATGAAGCCTAAGAAGGAGATGAGCGCGATGCTGACCACCCAACCGGCCGCAGCGAAGGCTTTGGGCATCGTCAGAGCTCCTGTTCCCACGATCAGGTTGAACATGTACACCAGACCCACCTGGAGGAGAAGGAAGAGCGGATGAGCTGAAAAAAGGCAGCTCACAAAATCAGTCAAACAAAACAAATCAAAAGCACTGCTATCAGGTGTTCGTCTACATGCTGGAGTATTCAAACTATGCAAAGGACAACCTCTGTGCTCATTGGGCAACACTTAAACTCAGCTGTCAGCAAAATTCAAAGAAACTGCTGCGAAATCATGCTGACGTAAGCAGTGAGGGGCTGAAGTGAGTTGACTAAAACTAAGTCCAGACCAGAAACCCTGGTGTGTGCACTTTATAGTATCCTCTTTATTCTTCACCGCACTTTCACATCTACTCACAAACACGTTTGATCCTTTTCTGTCCCAAGTTTACAAAGTGTTTGAAACACAACGGGCAGTTAATTTAAATAGCTCAAGAACAAAAAGAAACAAAGTGTGAAGATTAAAACACGTAAAAGTAATCAGAGAGAAAGGCTGCAACTTCTGTAGTTTAATATTTAACATTTTAACTGCAGCTCCAAAGCTAGCAAAAACAAAACACTGATATTTCAGTCAACAGATATTAAAAAACACTAAAATGAACAACAGCCTCCTGCCTGATATGATATGATATAATATATATATGATACTCACAAAAGGGGAGTAGGGCTCCCCGCTCTCTGTGATCCCACCTGCCATGGTATACGACACTGGTCCTCACCTGAAGGAACAACAGACCGGAAGTTAAATCCAGTTTGTATCACTTATTCCATCAAGTTTAAATCTACTTTATTGGCATAATCATAATTAAGTAAACTATTGCCCAGACAAGCTCTGTAGTGTAATAAGAAACATTGAAAATGGAAGAAAAAACATAATAAATGGTTGTTCAGTTTGAAAAGAACTCCCATTGCACATCTTACAATTTAATATTTACTGTTATGTTGTCACATAAAGTGTGAATATGTCAAAGATCATTCAAGACTTTTATTACATTTTAAGGACCACTTTTCGTTTCGGCTTGGTCATAATTCAGAAAGCAGCACGTGTTAATAATAATAATTATAATAATAATTGTTGATCTGACATTTCCTTGCTAGCAACGCAGCTAGCAGCGTAGCTTATAATACATTCGCTACCACACCAAATATACAATATATTTTAACGTTTTACTACATGCACTAATACACGTGAGGGACTAGATCAGCGTGTCATTAAAGAAAACTAGCAGTAAACACTCCTCACCTCACTTCTTTCCAGTGTGTCTTGCTAGTTTAGCTGCTAAGCTAGCCAGAAGCTAAGAGAAGCAGCTGATCTGCACCCGCAGGAAGAAACACGTCAACCTGATGCTAACATAAAATAACACTTCCGGTTATGGCTTTCAACGTAAAACCTCCTCCGTCGTACGTAAAGGTTGATGTAAAAAAAAAAAAGCTTTTATTGTGAAAGTAAAAAAAAAATGATTTGATCGTTCTGGTTGGTGCGGGAAACAAATCACGAGGTCACATGTCACATGTTACATGACACGTGACACTTGTCATATGACACACGTGCGCCTGTATCTGTGTTATGTATTATTGTCTCTGTTTATTAGTATCTACCAGTGGTTCCATCTCAGAGGGATTTATTGTATTATTTATAATTGTATAATTATAAAAATAGTTTAATATAATGTATTTATTATTTAGTATTTATTGTTTATTTATTATGTATTATTTATTTATTTCATATGTCATTTTACGTGTAAAAACATTTGACGGTTCCAGATTGAATAATGTTGATAACTTTAATGTGTCAGTAATAATGTTGACTGTCTGCATTTCTCACTATTTTCTGTATTTTTACAAACCAATCAATCGATTAATTAATAGAGGAAATATTCAGCAGATTAATCCACAATGAACATAATCATAATAGTTTAAAATGAGCATTAAAATCCTGCTTTTACATTAATGCACGAGTACATAATAATCTAATGATAGAATATATAACACTTTGTCACACTTTGAATATTCTAACTACATTTTTAATGATTAAACTTTCTAGTTTTACTGAAGAAACATTTTCAATGTAGTTCTGGAATAAACCAACATATTAAAAGACACAAATTACAATATTTAATGAGTTAAACACTGAAACAAAGTACGTTCATGTTCCATTACATATCAACTCTCTCTCATTTCTTCATTTCTTCATTTTACCTCGTATCTCATATACAATAGAAAAACAAATATATATATTATATATATTTATAATATATAAATCACAAATTAACTTTATTTAGATTTTAAAAGTCCCACAGTTCATAACATACAATCATTTTCATGTTCTGCACTTTGAAAAACAATGGAAAAGAAGAATTAAAGGACGGAAGAATTTAGTTATTAAAAAATAATCCTCATCTGAGTTAAGAGCGTGCACTGAGCAGATTACACACACGTCATCTCATCAGATTGAAATGATTTGTGTCATCCACATGATGTTCATGTACGTGAGAAAACCTGCAACAGTCAGGAAATAGAGGACGAAGAACACCGAGTCGATGATCTTAGAGAGTCTTCTGTAGCATCCGGGCCGTCGCTCGTCTTCCTCCGGCCCTCCGGCTTCACGTCGAGCCGTCTTCACTTCCTCCAGGATCAGTCTGAGCAGGTCTCGGTCGTCGGGTCGATTCAGAGGGAGGGAGCTTCTCTCTGGAGGCTCTTCAGCTCCATCGGAGTCTGAGGTGAGAGGGGGGGGGGGGGGTGATTCAGCAGAATGATCCGTAATATATCAAGTTGTGTTCCAGGTCTGATATGTTCATGTGGGATCGTTGGTGCATCTGTATTGGGATGCACTTCATGGTTCCCTCTACACATCAGCTGACTAAATATCTTGTAATCTTTGTTAGTGTTTGATTTCAATTCAAACCAGATAAATTTTAAGTTTAAGGGGTTTGATTTAAATTTAGTTTCATATTTATTCTCATTATTATCTTCCCAAGATCTTCCTCGTTAACAGTGTTTTGGTTCATTTTGTAAAAAGAAAGAAAAGTATTAAGTAAAGAGGTTTACCTTTGTGAAAGTCCACTTCCAGCTGAATGTCCACTTGGGCATCATTGGGAGTTTGAGCGTTGCTACAAGAACCGTCGAGGTCGTACAGGAAACCGACCAGCATGGCCTCCAGGACGCTGATCCCCACCAGGGCGAAGATCCCAACACAGTACGTGGCTACAGAGCAAAGGCGAGGAGACATTTGTGGTCAGAGTGATCCTTTTTGTTTTTTCAGCCATAAACACGTGAGAGAAAAACTGTTTAGATCAGTTTATAGATCTTGTTTTTCCCACTAGCCTCTCAGGGCTTCCGTAGCACAATGAACACTCTATCATATGTGTATGACAGATGGTTTATATATGATATACATCACTCTATATGTATGTATCATATCATATATCACATGCTTGCGTGGGCAGCTCACCAATCATCGGCAGATGATCTTCAGTGGAGGGCAGCAGGTCCTTCAGAATCAGCAGCAGGACGGAGATGGACAGCAGAACCGTCATCTTGAAGCTCAGCTTCTCCCCTCGAGCCTCGCTGATGAAGAACGAGCAAACGTCCAGCAACACGAAATAAAACAAGGGCACGATGAAAATGATCACGTACAGCATCGGCTTCCTGGAGATTATGATCTGAAACACAAAGAAAGCACATGTTTGTTACTAATAAAATAAATAAAACACAGAATCTGTTCATAGATGTCATTATAAATGTTTTCTTACGGTGTATATGAGGCTGCTTTGACATCCACTTGTTCCGTTTTTACTACAATAGTCTATTTCTATTTTGTCGAGATTCCATTCTCCCCGTGTCACCATGAGCCGCTCAGACACCCTAGTGAGCATTGTGTCGGTGGAGACGGTTCCCAGTGCTATCGTATCTGCTGCGTGGGGAAAAATACTAAAATCATTACAACAGATGTGTTGGCAGTGAGATATTGAGGTGAGCCTGTGGTGTGATTCTACCGTCTGAGGTCATTGAAGAGAAGGTGAAGTTACAGCGCTGCTTATCGAAGGGGAACAAGGTGACGATGAGCAGACAGGTGGAGGTGAGACGCTGCCGTGTGTTCGCCAGCATCGAGCCTGACGGAGACAAACTGATGACCGGACTGTTGTGGATGGTCCCAGTATCAGACGCACTGAAGAGACGGAGACAAGAGGACTTTAACTACCTTCATTAATACAACTGGTCAGAGCAGAGAGCTTTCATCATACAGAGATCGAAACAAATCGCAGCAGCTACATCACCAGTTATATGACTTATTTAACACTTAATAGTGTGCAGACATGTTTTCTCTCTCCTGGAGGCTACTTTGAAATAATATTTAAACAATTTTTACGACATAAAACTGTCACTTACAATTCTTGTCCCCATTTGCTCTCTTAAAATGATCGATTATAACTGTTCAGGTGTTGTATAATCTGGGTGAAGTTCTTCTTTTAATCTGTTTTGCTCTAAATTTGATGTTCAGATTTTGGAACAAAAAGGAAAGATTTGGTTCCGTTCATGAAGCTCATTAAAAGACATGAAACTACAAACTGTAACGAGCAGCTCGTACTCCTCCTCGATGTCAACATCTGGGATCCACAGACTCGACCTCGGAATCATCATCCTGTCGATCCCACAGAAGTCCGACGGATTCCAGGTGAGGAATTCATTCGTCCAGCCCTGAGGAGAAATAAAACACATCGTCTCATATAAACTCACAGCTCAAACGACGCTGCTGAGGATTTCTATTTCTATCTGGCGATTAAAGATCACTGATGTTTGAGATTCTCACCATTCTTATCCAGATGTGACTCGTGATAGTCTGAGACTTCTCATCCTGCAGACAGTCAGCAGCACGGTGGTTAAGTATTTAATTACAATAAAATAAAACAGCGTTGTTTACTAGAGATGATCAATTCACCCAAAGTCACACACATTTTAAATCTCGTGGCATCTATTCTGCAGGTTTTTAAATATCTGCCATCTTTAATTTGTGGAACAAAGTCCTGGTTACATTGAACTAGGGATAAAAGAGCATGTAATAATATGCAGACCCTTTAATTTAAGTAAAAGTAGTTATCACTAACAAATGTTCTGCATTTAAAATTAATACTTTAGTAACAGAAGCATCAGCTGCTAAATGTACTTTAATTAAAACTCTAATTACAGAAACATCCTGAAAGATGATTCTTTCTTCACAAGATAGAAAATAAATACGTTTTCTAGACTTCAGGACGTCTGAAACAAACACATTAGTGGATTTTAGTATTTATTTTAGTTTAGCTGCAGATGGAGCTGATTTGAGTTGTTGTCATTAAATCAATTTAGAAATGCAATATTATTTAAGATAATAAAATACAAAAATGAAATAAAATACTCAAATTAAAAAAGCATTTATAAATTAAGTGAATGTATTTCCAGCAGTTTAATAAAAATGAAAACTCGCTATTTTTAATGTTGAAAATGGTGAATTTATATATTCTTTGGTTGAACTGACCCTTTAAATAACAAACACACTCAATAAAAATCCATAAAGTCTTCAAAGACACTCACCACTTCTAGAATACCGTACAACACCAAGTCCATCTGAACGAGGGTGGGGGTCGTCCAGTTCTTCACGGGCCGCATGACGGCCATAACTTTATCAGTGGTCGTCAGGTTCAGGTGAGTCAGCAGACCGCGGTACGAGCAGTCTGAGGCCTGACAGCTGCAAACACCTGGAAGCAGACACAAAACATTTACACACTTTAATAAACATCAGTTAATCGAATCAAACCCTCAATATGTTTTAAGTTTAATAACTCGCCGATCAAAGCAAGAAAAGCTAGAGTCCTCAGAGTCGACATGGCTGTTTGGTTTCATCTCATTGTGAGCGAAACCCTTTTAAGGCTGCGATGCATAAACATCAGAACAATGCGGCAGCAGAACGAGCAGAAGAGGCATCAATAGGTGTAATTAATTGCATTGTCAACGCGCTCCGTTGTTCAACCTGCATTCTGAGGAGAAGAGTCACCAGGAGAGCTCAGTGTGAATGTGGAAATGGGTTTCAGTGTGCACACCGCTCTCATGTGGTCAGGAAAACAACAAAGAAAAACACGTGAGACGAGAAATGATTACAGGTTTTTAATTAGAAAATGATAAAAAAATATCCTGCACATAGAAAGAAGTGAACAGCAATATGTGAGATGCACATTTCCCTTTGTTAAATACTCCGGATCCCAAAAAACAATGAGACATTTCTACAAGCTTCATGTGTGCTGTGGAAGACCATGAGATGTGATTGAAAGCTCCAGAACAGACTAATGGACCTTGTGGTGAGATTGTTTTATTAACCTCTGAAGGGACTTTCAGTCTCGTCGCTCACGGCGTATTTTCACTTGAGCATCAAAGTTAAAGAATATTAGTTTGACTAATAGATCTGAACTCAAGGCCCTCTTACTAACTCGTTCTTCATCAGCAAAGCGGCTGAAAAAAAGAGATAAATTTAAGAGTTATATTTCATGAACACTCATTCACCACAATTTGTAGTGACACTCAATCCAAACGTTTTAATTTCTCTTCAATCGGCTTCTTTTTTGGACAAATTAATTGTGTACTTCTTCCAGGTGCTTTGTGTTTATCCTGTTTATATCATTCTAAAATATCAATTTAATTCAGTTTTCTTCACAGAAATGAATGAAACCCTGAGATAAAGTCCAACTTTATGTATATATTTTTAAGTTTTTCTTACACCAATTAACATCTAGCAGATGTAGCAACCCCCAGTGGGAGTCGAGACCCTCACAAACCAGTGCGTTAGGTAAATAAAAACAAACTGTGTGTTTGAAGACACAGTGAGTCACAGTGAGTCCACAGTTTATGCACATTTTAACCCCTTTAAAAAAATGGAAAAAACTGTTGTTTAGCAGGTTTTTAACCTGTCTCCATGAATATCCTTGAATCACACCCAAGACAATGTAAAGTGTAACGATTCATCAATTTAATAATACAAATTTTTGAGTTATTATAGGACTAATAGTGCGCTTAAATCCCAACATTTTCCTGCCAGCTCACTGATGATGCTTTAAAACTGATAAATCCAGGAGTGTATATTTAATATTTATACAGTAAAACTGTATTTTTTGCTGTGAATTACCTTTATTTCTTTAATGCACACTAAACCACCCTTCAGTGGCAGCCTGTTGGCGGTTATTGTTCACCATGTTTTCTAGTTTATGTGAGTAGATTTGTTTTGTGGAATAGGGGTTTGGAACGACAATTTATTTCCCACTAAGAATAAAGTACTCAATCCATCTTGTTGCTGCTGCAGAAAAATAAACAGTAAAAAGTCTGGTCGGCGTAATAGTTTGAATAAGTCACTCTGATGGTCTGGTGGTCCCAGAAATGAATTAGGAATATATCTTTTCTCTCTGACAGCATTAGAGCTGGAAAACTGATCAAGCCACTGTGTGGAGAATTAAAAACACTTCTTGTCCAAAGCATTTCTATTCATTCTTTCGGTTGAGACACATACACATACCTCCACCATAGCTCTGCTATGAGGAACTACAAAGGTTTAGAGGCCTATTAGTACATCCGTTTAACCGGAATACAAAAGAACATGTGATTGTAATTACTCTCAATGCCAGAAGGGTAGAAGAGGTCTGCACAGAGTACAAATATATAGATATTAGTTCTACAGAGCATATTAAACCAACCTGTCTGTCTGCTCGCTAGAAGCTAGCTAGCTACTAGCAACCAGACAAATAGATAGCCAGCTAGCAGCTACTAGCAACCAGACAAATATATAGCCAGCTAGCAGCTAGTAGCTACTAGCAACCAGACAAATAGATAGCCAGCTAGCAGCTAGTAGCTACTAGCAACCAGACAAATAGATAGCCAGCTAGCAGCTAGCTACTAGCAACCAGATGGATAGCTATAGTCATATTAGTGGTTCTTGATTTAATATATTGTTTTTTAATCCCCAAAACGTCGGCATACATTTCAAAAGAGGCGTTACATTTTTATAAACTGATCACATATTGGGAATCTAAATGTTTACTTTCTCACCTGAAAACTTAATAAAACTTAATAACAGCTTTTTTTAAAAGCTTAAAAACTGTTTCTTTGGCAAGTTAAGGATGTTCAAACTGGTGAAGCTCAGAAAATAAATCGTACTTTCCCCCGAATTCAAAAACACAAATTGATGCAATACAGAAGCACGCTAGTTGAGGCAAAGAAGGAGGTGATTTTTAAATTTTCGTATGTCAGATTACGTTATAAGTCCTGGATACTTGTCGGTACATGGTTTTGGACTCAGGGGATAACATCGGTGGGCAGCTGGAAGTCTTTGAAGGTGTAGAAGGAGATGTCTCCGTGGTCCACCACGGCAAAGACCACCGGGACGTCTCCACTCTGAAGAGCCAGCTGCTTTATGGCTCGCAGGTCGGGCACCAGGCCGCCAAAACTGCGACACAACGAAGACAGAATCAAATGATCTTGTTCGGTTTTTGTGAGAGACGAAGGCCAACACACTGGAGCCACTATCTGCATCTATTGAATCAGTCACTCAGCAGAAAAATGAAATACAAATCAAGCACATTGCATTCTGGGAAGTAGTATTAAGCAATTATGACATTATACAAACCAAATGACTAATTAAAAAATTGTAAAAGGAAAACATGACACAAAAGGGCCTTTTATCTTCGACCACTGATGATTATATAATCCACGTCACACGTCTGCTGCTTCCTGTAAGCCGATCTTGAGTAAACATGCACTGCCTACCTACACACACACATGCGGGAGTAAGGTTTCCCCGGGTTGCTCTTCTTGAAGTCCGCCACCGAATCAGGTTGGTAAACATTGAAACAGATCCTCCAGTCATCAGAGTCTTTTAACCTGAGCGGAACAAAAGCACAAACGTTATCCCCTGAATGATGCCGCTCTCCGTCCCCAGTACAACAGGTCAACCTCGCTGTACAACGAGCAGCATCTGGCTGCTTTTGTCTCAAAGTCTTTATGTGTTTGTGAATCAAAGTGTGTGATACCGAGCTCACCTCACATGAACTCTTTTTGCGTCACAGGTGACTCAGAGTTGATGTTTCTGATCACAATGAACAGCAAGGTCACATGTATTTAAAGGGATAGTTGTGGTGTTTTGAAGTGTGGTTGTATGAGGTACTTCTCCATAGTCAGTGTATTAGTACAATAATAGTAGTAGTGACAGGAGTACCAGCACAGGAGTAAAGCACTGCTGTGGACGTATTTTAGTCACCTAAAAGAATCAATATCAGTTCAAGTGAACGCTATATTTACACTATTTTCACTGGACCTGCTGTTATCTATGCTCTCTTCAAAGACAGCAGACTCCATTGACAAACAAACAGTAATTTTAAGTTTCAGATCACAGGAGTTGCTGGTCTACCGCTGCCTCCATCGGTTAGTTTGTGTTATCGTGTGACTTTGGTGAATCCGAACTAAAACACCAAAGTCACACAATAACACCAACTAACTAACCGATTAATGCAGCGGTAGAGAAGCAATTCCCATGCTCTGTAATGTAATTACTGGTTTTGTGAATGTAGTCTGGTGCCTTTGAGAAGAGCATGAAAAAAAGTTACGGTGTACGGCAGGCAACAAGAAATATTTAAGACCTTTGTGAATTAGAAATAAGACATTTTAATACGTGTGAGAGGACAAAGTGAGAGGACACCACTATTTGAAAAAGTTCCCAAACAATATTTCGTCGTCTCACCGCAAACCTGAAGCCACACTTCACCCCAAACGCCCGCTTAGGCCCGTTTTTCAACCGCAGGACCTTCTCCCGGGGACTACGACCCATTTGAGGAACTATTGAATTCCAGAAACATTTTACCCCTTAAAAGGAAAGTACAGGAACTTTCAGGGTGGTGTTTTTTGTGAGGATGAACGTCGTTGATTGGTCAAAAACACACAGCACCACCGCTTCAACTCGGTCTCCTCTGCATTTGATGACATCCAGCGTGCAGCAGTAAACGTTGTCACAGTGAGATAAAAACACAAGAGTCATCGCATTGACCGCTATGAAAACGCAGACCACAACGGGCTAAAGGAACCTTTAAAGAATTTCCTTTAACAGGAGTATTAACATGAAATGAAGTGATACCTGGACGCTCCCTCGAGTAAATGTGTAGATTCAATCACACTGATTTTATCCAGCAGCTGCCCTGGAATAGAAAAAACAAACAGATATCATTGACTTGAATAAGACAAATATATTTATAAAATCCAGAATATATATTTAAAGTTTATTTCACTAGACTACGTCCATGTGGTCTCACCGGTGGGGATTGGTTGTCTTGGGTCATGTAAAGGAGTGACTTCCCTGTTCCACAGGTGTGCCGGTCGGCCGTCACGCCTCCCCCCACGCCTCCCCCCACGCCTCGCCAGGAGCTCCCGATACTCCGCCCAGTTTCTGCACTGCCGAACCTTCAAGTAAACTCACGATGTGATTCCCGCCTCTCCCATTGAATTTAAACAATCATATTCCAGATTTTGATGTCACACATGACACAAACCTGTCTGTCCTTGTTGACGTCCCACCGGCGCTTCCGTCTGGCCTCTTCCCTCTCCTGCTCCTTCGAGGACATCTTCACCTCCCTCAGGTTTATTCTCCGCCTCCAGTGGGACACGTCACAGACCCCCACAGCCAAAGACCCGGGGAGCAGAGAAGGGTCCGGTGAGGCCAGGCAGCTGGGGAGGTGCTCCCTGGAGCCCAGGTCGGGGAAAAGGATGGAGCTGAAGTCCCGGTGAGAGGAAGAACCAGAGGCGCGCTGGTGATCCGATTGGTCCCCGAGAACATCCGCCATCCACCAGGTCCCGCCTCTGCCTGCGCCTGCTGAGCTTGCAGCGGCATTGTGGGTGCCTGAAGTCTCCGGAGACGTCACCGAGTGTGACTCTGGAAGTTTTTCATCATCCTCACCTTCATGGCCGCTGCGTTTGTCCTCCATTCTGTCAGATTCTTCTTGTGCTTCAGTGTGACTACAGCAAGAGAAAAACATTGTGTACAGGACGGGTGAAAACTTTTCAAAGCACCGAGAAAATAATGCACTCAATGCCTGTGTTTACCTGGATGTTGTAGAGGGACTGTGTTTACCTGGATGTTGTAGAGGGACTGTGTTTACCTAGATGTTGTAGAGGGACTGTCGCTGCGCTTCCTCTTCACACGTTGTTCCGCTCTGTCACGTGACTGAGGCAGGTTCAGCTGCCTCGCATAGGACGACGGCTGAGAACTTTAAGAAGCCAAACACACACACACACACACACACACACACACGATATGCTGATGTAGAACCCTGGACTTTCACAGCAAACATTGAGCAAAATACCAAAGATCCAGTTGGACCAGATTGGCGTAAGGCAGGCTACTTAGCTAGCTTGCTTATTTCAACCATGTTTTCATTGAACACAATTATTTAGCAGCTGGCTAGTTAATTAGCTAGTTCCATGCTTTCTAATTTGGGAACGTTGGTTGATGTTAACTTTCTCAAGTAACTGTATACAATGACTGTATATATTGAGCAAAACTCATATTTTCTAAAGCTAGCTGGCGTTAACAAACTTCTTCTGATAATAATTTTGCCTCCACCCACAAAAATACATCATCATGTGTACTAACAGAAAATGGTCTATTATCTTATATATTACCTGGGATCGAACCTGTGCACCACGTAGCCAAGCCTCTTCAAATGTCCGAACACCTTTTGTAAATGAGAAGGAATTGTTAAGAACCACATCAGTCGTGCAAGTCCTCCTTCAGAGTATGTTGCTGGACATTTGCTTGTACCTGATACTGCAGGAGGCTGACTGTGCTCGAGGACAGAAACTTCTCGTACCCGTCCTGGATGGACAGCGGCAGGTCCTGGTGAAGCACCTGCAGGTCCCCCTGTTCACAAAGGACATCAATCAGTAATCAACAGATCACAAGTGCTGTATAAACATTGGGGACTAACACAAAGGATGATGTGTAAACCACAACCCTGGTAAGCAGGTTTTATGTGCCACTCACACACTCCATCAGGTAGAGAGCCTCTTCAGGGAGGAGAAACTGCTTGCCGGTGGCAGAAAAGCCCATCGTCTGCCAAAACTTGCCCTTTTTAAAATAAATAAAGTTTTTAGACACAATTTAATATATTTGACTAAAGATAAGAGGAGGCAGTGCAGAAGTTAAGAAATTATCAGTGTGTGTGTGTGTGTGTGTGTGTGTGTGTGGGCGTGTTAGGGCTGCGCAATCAATCAAATATTAATCGTGTTCACGGTTTCGGCCTCCCACGATTGAATGAACATAATCGACTGTGATACTGACATTTAAAATACACCTGCATTCTCTCTAGTGTCCAGCAGGGGGCGACTCCTCTGGTTGTA